TTTTTTTTTTTTTTTTTTTTTTGTTACCTGTTCTCTTTTGCCAAACAGAATGAGGACCCGAAAGAAATCACTTGGTTGTAGAGATATGTGTTGCCAACATCAGCCTTGGAAAAGAATCCCACAAAAGTAGTTTTAAAAGTGATTCGGTTTACTTGTGTTGGATAAGAAGTGTACTCCTTCGATGCATTGGAGGGACAATTCAAACAGCTTGTTAGATTGTGACTGATATTGATGTTGCGGTTTTTGTACAACTTTCAATCATGTATTTTCTCAAAAGTTTCCCACAAACAAGTTTTGTGTAAGGTTGGTATAGGGCTCCTAAAGATGTGGCTAAGAAGGTAGCAATACAAAGACAAAAGAAAATCAACATTATCTCGAGTTTGAATATTGACCAATCTTTCATTACGCAAGTATTTTCTTTGTAGGGCTGAATCAAATAATTGAAGTGATTTCGAATTCAAACTTTGACTGTCCTCGTGAGCTTTTTCATAATCGTGAACGCCAAAGGATTGTACACTTCTCACAAGGCAACTATCTAACGTAAGATATTTTGAGTAAAAAATTAATAGAATACTCGATATCCTTATTAAGTAGCTACCATGATGTGAACCAAACTTAAAAGATATCTAGATTTATGAAGGGGCTTGAATACCTGATTCCCTGAAGCCATCTCCAACGTAAATAAGTGGTATAATCTGAGTGCATTAAGAAATTAGGGATTGGAAAAGATTGATGGAAGTGGGGAATCCTTTAGTTTGAAAGGGAAACAGTACAGATGACATAAGCATTGTCCACTGGACCACTAATGGTCGGGAGGAGAATGAAGATAAGAAATGCAGAAACATATAAACGAAAACTTACACTTTCATCCTCTCACAACTTCCTCAGCATTTGTTCATCTTGGAAAATGAAATCTAAGAAGAATCATGAGTTGTTACCATTCCCAGCTAGATAAAGAATCAGCAATCCTGTCCATTTTATAGTTCAGTATCATCGCTGCTAATTTAGGAATCTGGGTTAGCAATGATCTTTCAAGGAGAACAAATTGAATCATTGAAGGAGAAAAAAGGAGAAAATGAATCAGTTGAAGAAGAAGAAGAAGAAGAAGAAGAAGAAGAAGAAGCAACAGACCAACCTGAAGGTGTAGGAGCTTTGGAGTGGCTGAACTTGAGCCTGGGTAGGAACAAACAGCTTTTAACTGAATCACAAAGCTCTGCAGGTTCAGCCAAGACCTTTTCATGCAACTTCTGTAAGAGAGTATTCTACAGCTCACAGGCATTGGGAGGCCATCAAAATGCCCACAAGAGGGAGAGGAGTGCAGCCAGAAGGCACCAAGCTCAGAGAATGATGACTCTGCTTGGTCTGCCAATACATAATTCTATGGTTAGATCACTTGGTGTTCAACCACATTCACTGGTGCACAAAACAAGCAGGGAAGATACTGCAATAGTAGCAAGATTTAATCATGTAAAAAGTGGTTCATGGGCACCTTTCATGCTGGGGGATGCCATGGACTTGAGGTGGCCAGGAAGCTTCCGCTTCACTCAACATCAAGTTCTCCCAGAGTCACCACCACTACGAGAACCGCAAATGGAACCATTCAAGCTTGACCTGAATCTCCGACTTTAATTCTTGTATCTGTCTGTCAAGAACTCTGGAGTCATCTTCTTCATTCTGATTGTGTCATCATATATCAAGTACATGACTAACCTTAGGGGAAGTGCTTAGAATCCTATGTAAAACCAGGAAGAAGCAGCATTAATGTTATATCTCTTCTGCTTATGGAAACACAAGAGGCCTGATTTGTTTCAACTATAAGTTGTAGAGTAAATTACATCAAACTAAGTAGGCTGTAAGGGGGAACAAAAAAAGATCAGTAATGATTTGAAACTTCAAGATTCTTGCTTCTGTCATCTCTTCCAGTGGTTTCCCATTTGGGAGAAATGGCCCATACACATTTCACTGCTCAATCACAGGTCACCCAGAGCTCCAGCTTCCTGTGAATTAGAAGATGATAACATCCAGAAAGCTTGGAAATAAGTTACATCTACATGGACGAGGATTTGATACCAATTTCAATGGTTGACAGGATTTTGATGCATTCAAATCGATAAACGCAGGATGCGCGCAGAAGATCCGATTGCTTTCATGTGTGAAGAGAACTACATTATGTTGACTCTGCAGAACCTAAAGTTCACATCTCATACAGGATTAATTGCAGAATATTTCACTAAGGATGATGACATTAAAATCTGGATAAAAAAGCCAAGAGCAATTTAGACTTGATAGCAATGTAGCATCCATAAGTGATATATCCGCAGCAAAGCTTCCGAAGCTGGAGGGTAGCAGTAGCTCTTTTGTTCTTTAACAGAGCAATATCTGCAACTAATTAATTGTTTAACACATCAGGAGAAGGGTCTCTTGAAAATACAAATAAATATCTAACAACAAGCTATAGATTTACATAACTAAGACTAAGCATTTATGTGTGAGGAATTAGAAAGAGGAATTCTAATGTGGTTACAAAGAACTACAAACAATTGTGATTGTTCTTGGAATTACCTCCCTTCAGACGATGCCCGCATTTGTTCTAATGTGTATCTTGGAAGAGAGTAAATAGCCAAATAATTTCCCGTGAATGATCGAAACTTACAGAACCTATAAGGAATTTCTCCTCCTCGTCTTAATGCTATGTGCTGTTTGGATTTCATTTACTTTTGGTGACTTGGCAGGAGGCCTTTGTGATTCCTTACTGTCCTTTGAACATGATGCAGCGTGATCTGACCTGCCCTTCCGTTTTCTGGATTTTGTGGCAGAAAATTCTGATCTTTTAGTTTCCTGAGTTGCCAATTTGACATCCCCTGTATCCCCACTCTGACATGGGGCCACAACACTATCTGCTGTTGGTAATTCTTGATGTTGGGCACCAAATTCTTGCTCGGGCTGGTGCAGCTCTCCACTTGCCTGAGATGAATGAATGCCCATTCTTGAGGAACTCTTCGCTTTATTACCCTCAACGCTTGAGGGATGGCGTGTGCTCCAACGTGTGTTCGTAAACCATTTGCTAACCTGAAAATGGAATAAATAGTTGAGCCTTTCACTAGAATAAAATGTTAGCTAAAACTTCAAAAGGAACTCAATGCATTACCTGCTTCACACTGAGCCCTAGTTCTTGTGCCAGACTCTCCTTTGTAGCTCGTTCAGGATACTGGTTTTCTTGGAATGATGCTAAAAGTCTCTGGAACATTTGCAACAATATTAGGAAGAAGACGTGGCATTAAAAAACTAGATATTTTGGAGTTAATACTAAATTTTATTTCCCACAACAGAGAAACAAAGATCTCATTGCCTCCTTTCCGTCCAAGGCATGTTTTATTTAAAAACCAAGTGAACTAAACAAGCACAGAGAAACTGATATTTCGCAATAAATAGTCTAAAGACGATGAAGGGTGTTGATAACTAATCTAACTGATGATGTCATGGAAGCGATAACTTATAGACTTGTGGTAAAGCATCTTTGTTGAAACCAAGACGTATTTCTTCAAATAAATAGCTCAAAATTGTGACCTTCGGTTGCAAAGAAAAGAGAAGCGAAGATCCAAGGGATATAAAGTGAGCTAAGCTGCTCATTACTCGCTATAATCAAGAAAAAATCTTGTTCCAAGTACAAAAAGGAATGACATTTCAGCTCAAATTTACACATCACAGTTCAATTTCCTATATATAACTGCCTTACTGAGAGTTAGACTTCACAATACAGGAATCAGACAGAAAGAAAACTGTTTTTGAGTGTCTCAGCAATTATTCAGACCACTCAGACTGGATTAAGCGTCAAAATTTTAGAATGATAGGAGATTTTGGAACAACAAATCTAATAAATTGCATGGCTGAAATTATGTAACTCCAATATACATCTCCTTCGCGGCAATATATCCAAGCACCAGCATGCATTCTTAAATAAAGTTGCAAGGGGATTCAAATCTTTGAATAAAACCTTGTTTCCCAACCCCACACGCAAAAAAAATAATAATAATAAATAAGCAAAAAGAAGGAAAAAATTAACATAGATACGCTAAAAGTAAGACAAAATAATGAAATAGGAAATCCCAGCTTGAACAAAACGGCACAAAAAAATAACATCTTTTTAAGGACAATGTTTTGGAATCAGAACAGAGCTGCAAAGAAGAAGAAGAAGAAGAAAAAAAAAAAAAACGAGGAAAAAGGAAAAGGGAAAAAAATTACCTCCAATGCAAGTCGACTGAGTCTTCTATACGATGATGGTGTGGTTCTCCTAACAGAAGAACTAGCTTTTCCAGTGTCTTCAGGAGTTTTACTCACAGATTTATTCATATTTGCAGCAACTGCCTTTTGACGAGTACCCCTCTTAGAACTGTGTTTAGTTTTTATGTTAGTCAAATCATCATTAGTTCGATAATTTGGCAGAGCAAGAACCAGGGTTTTAGGACTTCTCTTCCTTGTATTACTATCCCAGCCTTGGTCATCACTTGAATCCATAGAAACACTTGCGTACGTGTCATCGCTTGAGTCGGTAGGAACATTCCCATATGTCTCCTTCAATAATGAAAGAGAGAAATAATTTAAATGTATGGGAATTCTTTAACTCATTCAGTCTAAAACTAAGCATGGGCCCTGTTAAATATCTAGACTTCGTCTATTAAACATTTAATGCCCAGTAAATTCATTTTATTCACACAAGACACATAAACATGTTGGACTAAAGCCATCTTGATGGGAACAAGGCCTTGTTTTGATTTATTATTATCACTATTTTGACAAAAGAACAAAGAACAAAAGTAGCTAAAAAATAATTTACAAGAGGATAAAAGAATGAGAAATCATTTACAATTGATGGAAAATTTTCAAGATAAGAGCCTACTATTAACCAAAACATCACTTCATTGATTAAGACACTAGTAACCTTCCTATCAAATATTTGAATTCCCTACCTAACATCTATAAGTTGTATTCTTTAGAACAAAGCAAAAGAAAAAAGGAAAAAAACGACATGTCAATCAACTATGCTTGCATAATGTTGAGAGATAGTCGCCCATATACTTCAAAGAATACATTGGAAAATAGCAATATAATTTTTTCTTGCATAAGAATATAAATATTATTATGATTATAAAAGAATACTCACATCATGGAGCTTCTTGTAATCCAACCGTTCCACCTGTCTTCTTCCCAAAACAGGTTCAGGACCGTCCTTATCAGGACCGGACTCTAGTAGACTTGATAGCTCATTATACAGTGCACTCTTTCTAGGACCACCTCCAGAACTTCGCCCATCAGGGTTTTTCATAGACGTAGTATTATTCAGTGATGGAGACACAAGGTTATCAGCTTTGGAAGAGGGGTTACTGTCAAGTGCAGCTAAATCCTCAGAATCAGATGTAAAGTCAGAACTTGAACTTTCCTGTCTAACATCTTCATCACGTTCTGGAGCACTGGGATCATAGTCATCATCCTCCGAATCATCGGAAGGGAGACCTAAGTACTGGTCAACATTGGGTGGAGACTCTAATTCCTCAGAAGCAGAAGCATACCCAGATGTTTCAGGACTTGATTCATCGTCCTGGACAATAGTATCTGGAACATCAGGATCATAATCATCATCATCTACAGAATCATCTGAAGGAAGACCTGAGGCATGATCAAAATTTCGTCCAGCAGCTGATGCTGCGGCCTCGGGATAGACTTTCTGCACACAGTTAGAGGAAAATGACACTATAACAAACACCCAAAACAACCCTATTTTAATATAGGTTGCAAAACTTTAATTACCTCCCAACCATCAGTGATGGAAAGTCTTGATCCTTGAAATTCATTAAGCAGATTCAAGCAGTCATCTTTGCAATCACATCCGGGGCATAGCCATCCTTCATCATCTGGCGGAACTGTGAGAGGAATGGAGGGAGCATGAATGAAAAGTAACTTGAGAAACACAAATCCACTTTTAATTTTAATATCTAGTTGGCAATGAGAATATTACTGTCTGTATTTAGCAAAGGTGGTTCTAAACAGAACTGATGGAACCCACGATCACAAATACCATCACATAGTATGATGTCATTCTCAAAGGACAATTCTTTGGATCCACATTTTGCACAGAATATCTGATGCAAGGTCAGAAGTTCACAATGAAGTCACTTATCACAAAAAGCAGATGCTTTAACAGAGCCAAAATTTATGCAGAATGAATAAAAAGATAACATCTAGTAAAAATTAAACTTAAGACGATATCCCCCCTACATCTTCACTGTCTATCTGTCCTTGAGAATCGAATAAAGATTTAGAAAGGCCTCCTTCGCCACAAAGTGCATCAATACGTTGAAATACATCTCTTATTTTTAATTTGCGCCGCATTATTTCATTTGATGCCCGTTGAAGTTCCTTTTCAGGCTTCAATTTATCTGAGCTGCACTATTATAGTAATGATCAGCAGATGCCATGCATTTCATTACATCAATTATGATAGATGAAATGAAAGATAAAAAGATCATAAAGAACATTAGTGACTGAAACAAAGATCAAATTATAACAAGAACTTCAATATTGATCCGAACATAAGTGCATAGAAATTGCTATCCGCTTCATTTCAGAATGAAATAACAACAGATTTAACTTCTAGGTTTATTGTCATTAGAAGTATTAGAAGTCTGACTTGGTCGAAGTCATAAATCTTGAAAGCAACGAAGAAGATAGAGTGATCACTTGTAAGTAATAGCTGCTAAATATGAAACGATCAACAAGGGTACCAAACCCAACA